GCCCACACCGGGAGCGGGGACCGCCCGAAATTCCCGAAACCATATATTTTATTCATCTTGGTCAAGATAATATTTACATAGTGGTGGCTACTTCATTTGAACCATGGAAAGGTCCAGAGCTGACCGATTGGTCAAAAGAAGCCCAAATATCGGTATTGGTAATTTAACCGATAAAAGCCCGAAATTGGATTTCGGAGACCTATAAATTAAAGTTGGGAAATGTATATTCATTATAAAGGGTATAATGATTAAGAACACATAATATATTTTATTTGACCCGATAAAATAAAATATATTTAAAACAGTCCGAAAAATACAACTTTCGGGACCGATTGTACACTTCTGGACAAAAGGGGTTGACCTCCCACATAAGTGGGGGCCAACCCACGAATTTTGACACATGAATGTGGAGGTGGGGCGGCTGGAATGGAGAGGGGAAGGTAGGAGATGTTGGGGTTGAGAGGAAAGGCATCAAAGGTACACATGATGGACCCCCATTTTTGCTCACTCATTGATCAAAAGACAAAGAACAATCCTCACCCACTCTCTCCCTCATCCCTGCGGCCAGAACACCAAGAAGAAGCCAAGAAAATTCTCCATCCTCCTTCTCCATTGTTGAGGAGAGCTTTACAAGAAAGAATACCAAGAAAAGGAGCTAAAGTGTTAAAAGTGTGAAAGGATCAAGGTAATAACCTTATCATAACTTTCCTTTATTTTCTTCTATCATATGAGATATATATCATATGAAGAACCTTGAGGGTTGTTCTACATAATTTAAGTGTAGAATAATGGGTTGGAGAGTGGTTCTAAGTCCAAGAACGGATTTAGAAGCCAAACCGACAAGTTCACCGGAAAATAACCTTTTAGGGGTTATTTGTATTGATTAAGGTTTTATGATGTTAAAACCTTGTTAGGAACTTGATTAAAGTATTTTTGAGCTTCGCCGGAGTTTCGCCGGAGTTGGTCAAAGTTCGCCGGAGTTGGTCAAAGTTTGCCGGAATTAGCCAAAGTTCAATCGGGAAGCGTAGAACGCGCTCAAGCTCACTAAAGGTGAGGATGACCGACTATATTGCTTATAATTATTGGGTTAATTTCATAAGATTTCCTAAATGAATTATATGTGTTTGGCATGATTTATTAATAATTAAAAATGCCTAAATGAGATCATTATTGTTTATAAGCAAAAATGCATAATATACAAATTTATGAATAAATTGTGTATGATTATGTGTTATGAATACAATGGCATAATAGTTGTATAAACTACAAATTAAATGGTGATAAATATACTTTTACCTCATGTAAGGAAGTCATGGGAGGATAAAAGTGATATTTTGATAATGGAGCTAAAGTATACTTGAATGTGAAATTTAGTTGAAATGTACGAATTATTATGAAATTGCATTGGTTTATTAAGATTAAACAACTAGTATATAAATGCTAGTCGGGAATGTAAGTTCAATAGTTCTTGGGAGCTAATCCCAAGATATTGGAGTTAAATAACCTTAAAGGATATTTTTTTAAGGTGGACTTTATGAAGTCAAGTTACATTAGGAGTAGGCCTTAAGGGTTACTCAAAATGGATGGAGCCTAGACTAAGAAGTGGTTTAGGGATTAGATGACGTGACTATGAGCCGAGCTCTAGCACGTGGTAGTATGACTATGAGCCGAGCTCTAGCAAAATGTAGTATGACTATGAGCCGAGCTCTAGCAAAATGTAGTGTGACTATGAGCCGAGCTCTAGCACAAATTAGTATGATTATGAGCCGAGCTCTAGCAAAATGTAGCGTGACTATGAGCCGAGCTCTAGCACAAATTAGGACGACTATGAGCCGAGCTCTAGCATGAAGGAATGTGAATTTAATAAATAATAGCACCCTAGATTTAGGGTCTTGGAAATTGAAACTTTGATTATACTTAGTATAGTTGTCATTGTACTTGTCAAATGCTTCCAAGTACTGACCTCCCCTTCACGGGGGAGGCCACCTCACAGTTTCAGGTAGAACTTGAAGGTTGCTACCACCGCCCGTTGCTTCGGGAAGATCAAAGGAAGGAGACGTGGTTCGTGCTTCTTCCGTTCCTGTTTTGAAAACATTTTAAATAATGCTCATGGATATTATTTTTAAATATTTATTTAGGGCTTGTATGCCCATGTTTGCCAAGGTGTGGCATGAATACTCGTATTGAATGTTTCCGCTGCTATGAATGAATATTTTACATTATGTTTGTTTATGGATGTACTATGTGTGAATGATTTTCCAGACGCCTTGTATAGTATGGATGCGTTGGACTGCGGTTGACTATTCGTACTGTACGGCGGATTGTTGACGTGTCCGGTTAGGTCCGAGGCGTGACAACATGCTTGTGAAAACGATGTGGAACTCCGAAAGGTGTTTATTCGGGTCTTCTCCTTTTAGGCCATGGAAGGATGGCAGTAGATGTATGAGCCCAGATTTTAGCTCAAATGTAACACCTTCATTGAGAGTAGGGAATGTAATACAAAGAGGTTGTTGTTAATTTAGGTTTGAAGCTGTGAGCTCCTCCAAAGTTCTTGTCTCAAGATCCATGTGGAATGACTCTTCGGATTCGCTAGAACTAGCGTTTGAGGATTCCTCCAAGGGTGTGTGCGGAAATAAACTTCTCGACCTCTTGAAGGCTTAGCTTGTTCTATTTCGGGGTTTGTTTGGTATGTGAGTAGGTTAACAGAGCGGGTTTTTACCATATACTCAACGAAGCTCAGAAATAGAAAAAGTAAGGACTCTTTATATTTTGTTTATTTTTTTTATTTTTCTTGAATTAAAATAAAAAGAAAAATTATTGCTTGTACCCGGAAACGTCGCCAAATTTGACGAGCACTTTTTCGTGATGTGCGTCAAAATAATAAATACAATACAACACTTATACTTAGTATAGCGTAGTAAGGTTCGTACCCAAGAGGAATTAAAGGAATACTTCTCTTTTTAATTAAATAGTAACAAAGGGGGTTTTAGGTTGGTTGAAGGACTTAAGAGTATTTAATCACCAAGTTGAACGACTTATGTGGTTTACTTATTAGAGATGAAGACCTGGTTTTGTTTTTATCCACTTAATGAAATGTTCGTCAATCTTGGTTATATCTTTAACTATCTTCCTCTCGAATACTCAATCGAGAAGTATATCCAGTTCATCGAGGATAGTAATTAATAATGAGGCGTGTTCATTAATAAAACTTACTACCGAGTCAATATAGAACACGCAATATATTGACCCGATAGTAGCAATGAACTTAAGATGAAAACGATTGAGATTGATAACCTCAACACAAGCGATTTATTAGTTTAATCAATATAATTAAATCTCCTTAGATTATTAGCCATGAGACGTTTTCCCAAAAAAATCATGAGACGCATGCATTAATAATTCAAGTTTACTACCGTGAAAAGACCGAACGATTAACAAGCGTATTCGTCTATCGATTCTAGTAATCATTAATACTTATGAAACAAAACTAGTTGATCCTTTAAGTCATGTTCAAAATATTAATATGAAATATGAATAGGAATTAATTAATATTTAAGGAAGAAGATTAAAGAAAATAAATGCTACCATAATGTATGTCGAGATGTTAACTAATTTTCATCTTAGCAACACTCCTCAACATTAATATAGAGATAAATTAATGGAAGAATTAATATTCAAGGAATATGATTAAAGAAAATAACTCAAAACTTACAATTCATTAAGCTTCAAAGTAGCAAAACCAAGATGAAAGAGTTTCGCTCCTCATTTGTAGACTAAATGTGATGAAAATATAAAGGAAATATTTGTCCAAACTGAGCTTAGAGGTATATGTGAATTGGTGATTTTATTGTGAAGGAAAGGGATCTATTTATAGGAAGGATGGGGCAGCAGGGTCGTGTACCTGATCGGGTCCATATAGGGTACCCGACCAGGTACCTTCAGAAAACGTTTTTAGAACATAGATTCAAGGCATAGCCGATCGGATGTGTCGGTGTACCCAATCAGGTATGACAATAGATCATGGCCAAATCTTTCCATGCACGTCTATTTGTTTCCTGGACTGATCTGATTGAAAATCAAGTTGGTACCCGATCCGGAAAGGGTATACCCGACCGGGTACAGGCCAAAATCAGGATCTTTTCTTTTTTTGTCTTGTATTCTTGCACCTTCCTTCCTCTTTTGTGTTCCAATGATCATTTGATTGATCCTAGACCTGACTTAGCTCATAATTGACCTAATCTAAACAAGTTACAAATAATTCACAAACATAATTATTACATCAAAAGTGTGTAATTTCCAAAGTATCAAACAACAAAACTAAGTATGTTAAAATTCACAAACATAAACTGACCCTTATCTCCCCTAAGTAAAAATACATACGGAAATTACATGGGTATTATCAACGACGTTTGGGAGACAACTGAATAGGCCACAGTGGTTAGGCGCGTCAAAGGCTTAAGAATGTGATGTCAACCGCAAGTAAAATTTCATTCCATTGTATAAACTTCTCACTCTGTTTCAATATTATCTTTTGATTTGACTTAAAATGTATGTTAACATTAAAAAGTTGAAACTATATTAGTGGGAGTTGTGCAGAGGAGGGAGGATGAATGATATGAATTCTACAAATTGAAATTTAATTTGATAGTAAAGTAATGAAAAAGAAAATAATGAAACGAACTAAATTTGAGTAGAATAGAATATACTCGGTGTTAATGCTCAGCGAATGACAAGATTTAGAAGTTCTAGAAGATAAAAAGTTCACTATTTATTTGATACCATTAATATAGGGTAGAATAGAATTAATAATATAGAGGCCCATAAATATACACCACGTACGGTATAATAATATCATTATACTACGTAGTTCCCAATTCCCTATTCCTTTCAGGAGTTAACAAACGTATATCCTAGATCATCATAATTCGCAGTTCCCTAATCCTTTCAGGAGTTAACACTTAACAGACTTATATATATCCCAGAGTACCTAATCCTGCAATCTCCTACATATAATTCTCCTACATCAAACAACGTAGTATATTGGTGTGACAAAAAAATATGGTTCCTGATGCCCTAATCCTGGCGGGTTACGTGCTTATTATGATTATGTGGGCAGCAGCCGTCTTCGCTACAATTGTGACCATAGATGCCTGTCTTCGGCGCAGTACATCCTCACCTCCGCCTATTCCCAACACCAACGTCTTCGTTAGCGTAGGAGAACGACTACCCCGCCGCCCGCCGCCGGAGGTTCGGCTGAATGTAAGAACCTTGGAGGAAAGCATAGGAGAACGACTACCCCGCCGCCCACCGCCGGAGGTTCGGCTGAATATAAGAACCTTCGAGGAAGGGAGCTTAAGGGCGGGAGTGGAGGACGGGTGTGCAATTTGCATCACAGGGTTCGAGAAGGGCGCGCTGTCCACCGTTCTTCAAGCCTGCGATCATAAGTTTCATTCCGACTGCGTCTCCGTTTGGTTGGCCATTAACAAATCTTGCCCTCTCTGCAGAGCTCCGGCCGCTCAAGTTCCTTCCCAACCATAAACGGAGTAGCAAATCCAATCTTTAGTGTAGTTGTTCGAATATTAATTACAAATTTAACATTTAACCGCACACATGAATACATGATCATCTATGTGTATAAGGTGCATGGAATGCTTGAATTGATGTTTTTTGTTCAAACAATTATTCCTCTTGTATATAAAGGTTTAATTTTGTGACAGCCGTTCCGATATATATTAGGGTTCTTATTCATTATTATTGTGTTAATTCACTTCTTGATCATCTGTGTATCTAGTATTTTGGGCTTGCAATCTATCCGGTCTTCCTCCTATATTTTTTAACGTTCTTATCGATCTACTATGTATTATTCTCGACTCAACTCTATTATGTTTAATTTTGCACGTACTAATAAATTTAATTACGGAGTAATTTTTTTATTATTATAGTTTCATCAATATAACTTTTAGTAGTAACCACATACTAACAAGGTATATTTTCTGATTTAATCTGACTTCGAACATATGTCTAGTATTGTTTAGTAACGTTATTTATCTGGGGATCACATCCTCTAGTTTATTAGTTTCTCTGGACTTTTTTTAACAACTCTTGAAAGAGTGACGCCGAGATGAGATTATTTCTGCTGAAAATCATACCACGTATATTAGTAGTACGTATTTTGGTACAAAAGTTCTTAATATGTATAAATAATAATGAACAATCAATAATGAACACGACCATAATAGAGATAGATAACTTGTTTTGGGAAGATCAATAGGTTATCCAGCACAGGAGCATTTGATTTACGGGACCCCAATTTTTCAAAAAATTATTTGTATTATAAAGTAATACTAGTATTATATACTAGGTATTAATACTAACCAATAAAATACAGAAGAAAAATTAATACTCAAATTGCTTGACTAATGAGTTGTGTTACTTTAAATCAAGTTTTAAGTAAGTTTTATAATTTTTTTAATTACATTATTTCTCTTTTACTCAAATTGCTAGACTAATGAGTTGTGTTACTTTAAATCAAATCTTAAGTAAGTTTTATAATTTTTTAATTATATTATTTAATTGATTTGAGTATAAGAATTTATGTTGAGATTTTTTTAAAAATTCTTTATATAAATGCAGGGCTTCAATTTTATTGGACGGCCGTGAAGCAATTCGTGAAACTAAATATGTGAAATTTTATCTCTCTCCATGGTAAATATATACTCCCTCCGTCCCCTTTTAAATGTCCCGTTTTACCATATTGGGATGTCCCTATTTAACTGCCTCATACCTTATTTGGTAAACTTTGTGTGGCTCAAAATCATTCTTACTTTATTCTTACTTTATCAATTAATATCAACCACACAAACTCACTTTTCTTAAAACCCGTGCCACCATCTCCCGTCCCATTTAAAAGGGGACGGAGGGAGTATTGTATTTGCAAAATTATACGGATCACTATGTATTTTCTTTAGTCAAGCATTATCACACTACACAAAAGTATTTCATTTGTCACGAATTTTAGTAAGAGATGATATCGTTCCCAACAAGTTTTTCCATGATTTGTTAGGGATATTCATAAAAAATCGGGAAATTTGCAAATTCTTCTCGTAACTTTTGACAGTTTTCATTATTAGTCTCGTAACTTTAGTCACTTGCAAATTTGGTCCTGTAGCTAATTAATATTTTCGACTTAAGAATTTTTTCCTTGAAAAGTACACCTTCCGGCGACAGTAAACCAGAAAAGATCGATGTCGCCTGCGTCACGTTTTTCTGCCGGAAATAGCGTCTGTCCTATCTAAACTTGGGTCTGAGTCGAGCTTTATAAAATGGGCCCTATGCATTGTGCTTCGTATTAGTTTATCATATAGATACATTAAAATCTAATCAAGGGCTGATTTGGGGGGAGTTGGACCAGGCAAGTGCCTTGGGCCTCACATGCCAAGAGCTAAGGCCCCAAAAAAATTTAAAAACCTATTAATATTACCTATTGGTCACAATTAGGATGTTTTGCTAATTCTTTAGCTGTGTGGAGAGAGAATTAACTGTGAGGCCCTAGCTCACAATTTAAGTTAAAATTTAGCTCACAGTTTAAGTAAAAACTGTGTGGTTAAGGTTCGCCTAAGGATGTTTGTACATAGCTTACTATTTTACGGATAATGTTATAACTTTAACTTATATAAAAATATGTATTGCTGATTTTCCCTATTGTATATTAGGATGTTTTTACTTGGACTGTAATTTGTTCCAGATCAAACCAGACCAGACCAGACTTGAGTAGTTATAAAAATACAGTGTACTATTGCATTCAACTTATCCTTTTGAATATTTAAAATATTATATCATACATTTTGTTTTTGTTTTTTTATATAGTGTTTTTTAATTAATTTATCTCTTTTCAATATGATTTTTGCGACGCAAGTTTTTTCCGTCTAGGGCCTCCGAAATGCTGAAGACGCCCCTGAATCTAATGACTAAATATCACAAAACGCAATTCTTAAATAAAAGTTTTACATTATAACAAAATGACATTGAATGTATTAAAAATTAATTGAGCACAACTCCTCTAATAGTTTTAGATGCAAAAGTACTACTCTCTCCGTCTCTTAAAACTTTGTCAACTTTCCTTTTTTGGATGTCCCACTAACTTTGCCACTTTCCCTTTTTAGTAAAGAATTTGTGGTTCCAATTAATTCTCTCTCCTATGCACAAACCTTAACCACACAGTTTTTAGTTTATTACTCTTTGTGCCGGTTAAACTTGACAATGTTTTAAGGGACGGAGGTAGTAATACAATGCATATGATTTGATTAATTGTAAATTAAGAATTCCATAACTGCAATATTGATAAACCTAAATAAAAAACAAACAATAATCAACTAGCATTTAAAAGTTTACAAATTAACCAATTAGACATTGACGCATGACAAATCAATTATACATGGGAAAATAGCCAAATAAGCCTCCATATTGTTCCAAAAATGTCAATTGAACCCCTCAACTAATTAAAAGAGCACCCAATCGAACATATACACTCATAAAAAATTCTCATATTGGCTTTTTAGCTGGTAACCTTCCAATTACAGGAAAATTGCTTACATGGCATATAATGTGGCTTTTAATTTTATCTTTTCCTTTTCTTTTTTATTTTTCTTGAAAATTTTATGTGTGTTCAAGGGTTTGATTGGAGTTTGTTTTAGTTTAGGGGTCCAATTGACATTTTTGAAGTAGTAAGGGGACTTATTTGACTGTTTTCCCATTATACATCACATTAACATTTAGCAAGTCAATATAAAGTTAGAAAATTTTTGAAAATAAAAAAAATCAATAAGTGAATTACTAAAAATAATAACTAGAGTAAACAAAGATTCAAGAAATAATCAAATAAAGCTGAAGGAATGCAAATAAAAAGACAAATTGCTTAGAGCATCTCCAATGCGATAATGTGCACGGTGCACATGTGGCATGTGAGATAATCACATAAATATTAGCAAATAAATTATCTATCTCATTATTTGAATGATTTTATAAAATTTTGGTAAGTTTTTCTTCACGTTCTCAAAAAGACCGTCTAGATGTTGACATTGTGATTATCAGAGAAAAACTTACCAAAATTGTATAAAATCATTCAAATAAAGAGAGAAATAATTTATTTGCTAATATTTATGTGGCTATGTCTCATGACACATGTGCACTGTGCACATTTTAGCATTGAAGATGCTCTTAGTGGAGTTCCTCATTTCCTGTGCAGCCAAGAACGAAGAAGGAGAGAGAAGCCAGCTAGAACCCCAGGGGGGCACGGCCAGCCGGAAAACAATCAGATTGCATTTCTTCATTTGTGATCTGTGAGTAGAGAAGTCGGCCATATAGTAGTATGCCTCTGCCGCAACTCTCAATCATCCTTCAGTTGGTGGTCTCCTTCGCAAGCTTGTAGAATCACAGCTGATTTGTCGATGTTATTCACATATTTCCAGGTGGATGGGTTACAAAATAAGTAGGTATAATCATATGTACAAAAAAATTGGGCCCCTATATTTTTCAGAATTTTGAGGTCCTGATGCCAGCTTTGGCCTCTCCAGGTACGGGTCTGGCCGGAAAGGGTACTTTCTGGTGGAAAACGTCTTAAATTGCAAATATTTATTAGTTACGGAACCAATTTTGCAACGGACCAGACCAGTTCAGACCAGACCAGACCAGATCAGACCAGACCAGCAAATTACAGTCCAAGTAAAACATCCTGACTCCCATCAATAGCCGGTCCTGCGAAATGCTCTCGGTTGGACGGCGGTTCCTGTCAGGCCGGCTGGATGGAAAGACTACTCTAGAAACATATACTCAGTACAATGTACTACTCCTGTCCCAATTTACTTAGCCATCTTTGACTTTTCTAGTCAAAGATGGTAAACTTTGACCAAGTATTTTAACTAATGTATTTAAGCAAAATATACTAATTTTCTGCTTTTATGATATTATTTTTAACAAAGAACATTTTAATATCATTTTCATGTTATCAATACTTTCTTTATATGAACATATAACCAGTCAAAATTAGACGTCATTGACTTGAAAAGTCAAGTTTGGCTAAGTAAAATGAGGAGGGAGTATATTGAATATTTTTTGTAAGTTTGTGGTGGGATCCTGTAGGACACAACTACCCAAGATGCATGGGTCCCCCATTGAAGTTGGGTGCCTCTTGGTCATTACAAGAAATGGAGCAAGGGATGTGGTTCATGTGCGTAGTTATTCCAAGTTGGTCTTTGCTAGAGAGCTATATTGCAGGGAAACACCAAAATTGTGAGGAAACAAGAAACATTAAACTTCAACTCTTTTAATGAAAAACACTTTTCCAGAGAGTATTTGGACAGTTTTCACAGAGTCTCCAAAATAGAAACATACTCTTTATGACAAAATCAGTGCTTCGTAACCAGTGGCGGACCCAGAAAAAGAGAGTCATGGGGTCCCTGTCTAAATGTCATTCTAATTAATATAAAATTAAACAAATAACATGATAAACAAATAAGATGGTGGAAAAAATGCCGTATCAATCTTAAAATGGATATAATATGGTAAACAAAATATAGCATCTGAAAACCCAATTCCTAAAACACGATCACCACCAACTTCTCACTCATTCTTAAACAAATAACAAGAATCAAAATGCAGCATTTTTGGCGATAGTGTATTTGAATCATTAATGCTCATCAAACCAACTTCAAACAAATCTACGTCTTTTGCCGCCAGTTACCTTAAAAGGGAAA